AGGGGGCCGCTAATGTTAGCCGGTCTGCTGGGGCCAGGGCTAATGTTAGCCGGTCTGCTGGGGCCAGGGCTAATGTTAGCTGGTCTGCTGGGGCCAGGGCTAACGTTAGCCAGTCTGCTGGGGCCAGGGCTAACGTTAGCCGGTCTGCTGGGGCCAGGGCTAATGTTAGCTGGTCTGCTGGGGCCAGGGCTAATGTTAGCTGGTCTGCTGGGGCCAGGGCTAACGTTAGCTGGTCTGCTGGGGCCAGGGCTAACGTTAGCTGGTCTGCTGGGGCCAGGGCTAATGTTAGCCGGTCTGCTGGGGCCAGGGCTAACGTTAGCTGGTCTGCTGGGGCCAGGGCTAACGTTAGCCGGTCTGCTGGGGCCAGGGCTAATGTTAGCCAGTCTGCTGGGGCCAGGGCTAACGTTAGCCAGTCTGCTGGGGCCAGGGCTATTGCCCTGGCTTCTGCAAAAACTGGGCGGAGCTAGACAGGTGAATGGGATGAACCATCAAGCAGGTCATCAGTGCCAAGATCGTGACAGAATCATGACTGCCTTTGCATTTTCATGAAGAATTTTCCCATTTTCCAAGTAAAGCTGCATATCTTTTGCATTGTGATCATTTTTTATCGGGTCAAGTGTTAACCCTTTCATTTGTTGACATGAGATTGATGTTTTTTCTGTAAAGTTTCCATTTTATAGGAAAGTGCTGTAGCCCATCTTTCTTCTTCCTGCTCGGATTCGGCATCTTGTTTTCACTTATGGTCTCACATGCATCAAACACAGCATCAGATGAGTTCATAAAACACTCCCAGCCAATGCTTTCCCTTTATGCAACATCCACAGCCTCACAAGGATTCAAACTCAAAGCGGCTTCCTGCAGACTGAAAAATCAAGCATGGCTGCACGCATAGCTACATGTTCAACACAAGCCCATTTGCGCTTTTTATTTTAAAGCGCAAATCAAACCTTGGTAATAACCTAAATGATGGTGGTTAAAATGACGGTCAATAGAAAATACAATGAACCCAACAAGCTGTGGGATGCAGCTACATCGGGTAAATAAAGCAAGACCACAAGTCCAAGCAACCCCTGAGGAGCAGAGAATCAGAACACCTGTGCAACCATAACAGGTCAACAGTCAATGGACCTTACAATGGGCAAATCTCCCAGAACTGTCATCACGGGGGAGTAATGGCGGCCGAGTGGTTAGAGCAGTGCGCTGTGCTCTGAGAAGGTTGCAAGTACGTGGTTCGTTCCCACAGACTGCCACTCTGGGTCCCTGAGCAAGACCCTTAACCCCTCCTTGCTCCCTGGGTGCCACACAATGGCAGCCCACTGCTTCCCAGGGTGATGGGTTAAATGCAGACAGGGAATTTTTCCAATGTTGGATCAACAAAGGTATTAATATTTCCATTTCTGAAACAGGTTCGCCTCTCCAACGTTTCTCATATCAACTCCACCAATAACTTTAATAACTGTCCGAGTCTCTTCTCCATCACTTTAGAAAGAAAAAGTCTTTTTATGCACCTTGTTCTCTGTCCTGTTCTGTCCTGTCCGTAGAGCCGTTTCACAGATGTTGGTCTGAGGCGAGCCTCCACTGGGCGCAGCTCCCAGGGTGGGTTATTGGGGTGAGAGGCTCAGTGCAGACCAAGATATCGGTGTTGTTTTCCCCAGAATTAGTCGCTGCTCAGAGGAAGGCAGATGGCTGCAGTGGCAGAGGGCAGGATGAAACAAAGGAAGAGTGTTTTTAGATGTTTCAAATGAATAGAAAATAAAACTAAAATCCCAACAGAGGATCACTACTTTAATTGTACTTTATTCTGATTTTTAAAACAACTCATTGATCGTTTCTGCACTGCCTGCTTTATTCACGCTGTGACTCCAAACATCTTTCCTCTTACGGTGAACAGAATTTATTTGGGCTTTAATTTGTCTCTGATTACTGATCAATGCAATTAGCAGATCATTGCTGCAGGACTTATTCTGACTTATGACAGAAAATGCTTTAGAACAGTCGTTAACTTCATGAAGAAATGTTCCTTTGAGTTACCCCAGCCTATTTGCATTTTCTCCCTCACCTTTGTCTGTGGCAACCTTTGTTATGCCTTTGGTTCCAACCGAGTGCCTGACCTGTGCAAATTCCTCTTCTCTTCATCAAAGGGTGATTTGACTGAACCAGGGGAGGCTCTTCTCTAATGGGAAAGGGTTCAAAGATAGTTTGACATCGTCACCAATTCCCTGTTTACCCAACTTGATTAGAGCAACATTATCGTTTTTATAACTGACAGTTTCTTTTTTTCAAATTCTACAGTTTAGTTTATGCAAAATGACAGACTTTTTTGATAATGGCTTTGTCCCATGTCGGAGATAAAATGTTGGGCAGGTTATCTTGTGTCTTTATTCCATGATGAACTCACAGCTTTCTGGGTGACACACAAAAGGCTGGATGTTGTTTTCTGCATGACAGCCAGACTTTCTCTTAACTGTTTTTCACCTTTATTAGAGAATAACTATCAGAGGTAATCAATAACAATAAAGAAAGTATGATCGAAATTTTCCATGTACCAAATAAGGACTAATGAAGGAACAGAGCAAGAGAGCTGGGGACAGTTCCATAGCTTTAGAAAAGATGCCTATATTTAATTTAGATTGTTTAGTCTTATTTATGATTGTTTATAACAGCTACTGCTGCTGTTGGTGAGACGTATCACGTTTACTCCCTGGTCTGATGGTGGCGCAGTGGTTAGCGCACCATGTATGGAGGCCTCAGACCTCCATGTGGCCAACCTGGGTTTGAATCCCACCTATGGTGCTTTGCCACATGTCTCACCCCCCGTCTGCCTCCTTTAGTGATAATGGGATGTGTAATAAGTGTAGTATTTTAGTAGCTTTGGAGGCGAGGGTGTCAGAGTTAGAATCCAGGCTTCAGGCTGTTGAACATCCAGGAGTTAAAGTAGGCCCCCCACGTAGCTGTCCTCCAAAAGTGCCTGAGCAGCCAGGCGATTGGGTAACTGTACGCAGAAAGCGTAGTCGTGGATCTCTGCCCACTGGTCACCACCAACCCGTTCACGTTTCTAACCGGTTTTCCCCACTCAGTTTGTAATTTTTTTCATAGATGAGGCTACTATGAGAAAAAGCAGAGAGAGCAGAACGTTAGAGATTGAACTAATAGATTCTGCAGAGTGGGAGAATAGAGATAGAATGAAGCAGAATGATGAAAAAGGGGTCCCTATGTCCTCCAGCAGTCTAAGCCTATAGCAGCAGAACTATAGAGATAGATCAGGATAACCTGAGCCACTCTAACTAGAAGCTTTATCAAAAAGGAAAGTTTTAAGCCTAGCCTTAAAAGTAGACAGGGTGTCTGCCTCACGGACTAAAACTGGTAGTTGGTTCCACAGGAGAGGAGCCTGAGAACTAAAAGATCTGCCTCCCATTCTACTTTTAGAAATTCTAGGAACCACTAGTAAACCTGCAGATTGAGAGCGAAGTGCTCTGTTAGGAACATAAGGAACAATCAGATCTCTGATATCAGATGGAGCTTGGCCATTTAAGGCTTTATATGTGAGAAGGAGGATTTTGTTAGTTGCATTTTTTGATAGGCTTAGACTGCTGGAGGACATAGGGACCCCTTTTTCATCATTCTGCTTCATTCTATCTCTATTCTCCCACTCTGCAGAATCTGTTAGTTCAATCTCTAACGTTCTGCTCTCTCTGCTTTTTCTCATAGTAGCTTCATCTGGTCTGTTCCTGTTTGGCTGTGACTCCATCCTGGAGAGAAATGAGCCTTCTCCTTAGATAGAACACTTTGAACCAATCTGCCTGTATGATCTGGTTGAATTGTTTCTATAAAGTGACCTGCGATGGCATGTGTAGGGAATTCAAGCTATAGAAATAAACTGAATAGAATTGAACTTCTGAAACTGAATGTAATTGAAGTAGCGCTTCTTTCTTACATGATATTCAAATCAAGGCTTTCCTCAGCTGAGGGCTGGGTCCGTTTTATCAGATTTGCTTCTGCTTATTTAAGGAGATTCTTCCTCACACACATCTCCACCCTCTCGTTGGTTGAGGTAAGACTGCTGCTGTTATTTCCTTCTTCTAACTTTTCAAAGGGGGGGAAGCAATTGTTCGTTTCATGCTCTGAATTGTTTCATTTTTAATACCCAACACTGCTAATGTGTCAGTTCAATGGCTGATGTTGGTTTATGAAATATAATCTACTTCACTGTCAGACAGTTTTGATCTCCTGTTAGTCAAATCTATTGAACATATTCAGGTTCATGCTCAACCTTATCCTAACTCATATTTTTCTGTTTCTAAAGAAATAACAGTTTGGTGAATCTTTCAGTTCTATGTCCTTGGAAAGAATGAAGAGTCCTTTTCTGGTTGTTGGGACACTTTTCCTGCTGTCCATCACTGGCGGGGAGGTAAACTCCTGTCAGACTAGAACTCCTCTATGAACATCTTCATCTTTTTTTAATAGAAGCAACATTAGCATTGTTCAACATGGAAAGGCTAACACTAAATATGTTCTTCCTCTTTTGTTTTCTTCTTCCAACAGAATTATGAATTCAGGGACATAATTGCTTTTCCCAAAGTTATGGGTTGTAAATGTAAGTCCATTACCTACAAGCACTATGCCATTTATGTAGGGAAGGAGGAATTTAAAGGAAAGAAAACTGATGAAGACATCTTTCACCTCACAGGTTCAGTATCTGTTTGTTTTAAAGCAGAGATGTATGCGTGCTGCAGGTCTTTCAACTCTTCTAAAACTCTTCTTCCTCATCAATTACAGGTCCAGTCCAGTCAGCTAAGAAATTAGCTGACTGTGACAACTACCTGGATAATATATGGAATGAAAAAATAGATCCAGCCCAAATTAAACAACGAATTGAGGAAATTCATAAAAACTGTCCGGCCAACGGAAAAAACGATAATTTCAATATTTTGAAGTCATCGGTTGGCAAATTATTGCAGACATTATTTTTCAAAATATTGAACTGGAAACCTTTATCACGCAACTGTGAGCACATTGCTACTTATATACGTTATGGAATAGAGCTGTCATTGCAGGTATGACATCACAAACAACACCTGATCCTCAGTGTGGGTAAATTATCAACTTAGCCTAAGTCTTATTAGAATTATCAATTATGATTATTACCTTCAAGTACAATGTGATTTAATAAGTCTAAAGATAAATGAACGTTCTGCAGAAATGTTTGCTTTTTAAAGCTTAATGGGTCAGATGGTAGTCTGGAAATGTAGTCATTCTATTTGATCGAATTTTGAGTAAGCCAGATCATTTGCTTGCTGTTGCTTTGCTCTGTTGCTGTTGCTTTCTGTCGCTTTGTTCTGTTGCTGTTGCTTTGCTCTGTTGCTGTTGCTTTGTTCTGTTGCTGTTGCTTTGCTCTGTTGCTGTTGCTTTGCTCTGTTGCTGTTGCTTTGTTCTGTTGCTGTTGCTTTGTTCTGTTGCTGTTGCTTTGTTCTGTTGCTGTTGCTTTGCTCTGTTGCTGTTGCTTTGTTCTGTTGCTGTTGCTTTCTGTTGCTTTGTTCTGTTGCTTTCTGTTGCTTTGTTCTGTTGCTGTTGCTCTCTGTTGCTTTGTTCTGTTGCTGTTGCTTTGCTCTGTTGCTGTTGCTTTGTTCTGTTGCTGTTGCTTTCTGTTGCTTTGTTCTGTTGCTTTCTGTTGCTTTGTTCTGTTGCTGTTGCTCTCTGTTGCTTTGTTCTGTTGCTGTTGCTTTGTTCTGTTGCTGTTGCTCTCTGTTGCTTTGCTCTGTTGCTGTTGCTTTGTTCTGTTGCTGTTGCTTTCTGTTGCTTTGTTCTGTTGCTGTTGCTTTCTGTTGCTTTGTTCTGTTGCTGTTGCTTTCTGTTGCTTTGTTCTGTTGCTGTTGCTTTCTGTTGCTTTGTTCTGTTGCTGTTGCTCTCTGTTGCTTTGTTCTGTTGCTGTTGCTTTGTTCTGTTGCTGTTGCTTTGCTCTGTTGCTGTTGCTTTGTTCTGTTGCTGTTGCTTTCTGTTGCTTTGTTCTGTTGCTGTTGCTTTCTGTTGCTTTGTTCTGTTGCTGTTGCTTTGCTCTGTTGCTGTTGCTTTCTGTTGCTTTGTTCTGTTGCTGTTGCTTTGTTCTGTTGCTGTTGCTTTCTGTTGCTTTGTTCTGTTGCTGTTGCTTTCAATTGCTTTGTTCTGTTGCTGTTGCTTTCTGTTGCTTTGTTCTGTTGCTGTTGCTTTCTGTTGCTTTGTTCTGTTGCTGTTTCTTTGCTCTGTTGCTGTTGCTTTGTTCTGTTGCTGTTGCTTTCTGTTGCTTTGTTCTGTTGCTGTTGCTTTCTGTTGCTTTGTTCTGTTGCTGTTGTTTTCTGTTGCTTTGTTCTGTTGCTGTTGCTTTGCTCTGTTGCTGTTGCTTTGCTCTGTTGCTGTTGCTTTGCTCTGTTGCTGTTGCTTTCTGTTGCTTTGGACTGTTGCTGTTGCTTTCTGTTGCTTTGTTCTGTTGCTGTTGCTTTGGTCTGTTGCTGTTGTTTTCTGTTGCTTTGTTCTGTTGCTGTTGCTTTGGTCTGTTGCTGTTGTTTTCTGTTGCTTTGTTCTGTTGCTGTTGCTTTGGTCTGTTGCTGTTGTTTTCTGTTGCTTTGTTCTGTTGCTGTTGCTTTGGTCTGTTGCTGTTGTTTTCTGTTGCTTTGTTCTGTTGCTGTTGCTTTGGTCTGTTGCTGTTGTTTTCTGTTGCTTTGTTCTGTTGCTCTTGCTTTGGTCTGCTGTTGCTTTTTTCTATTGCTGTTGCTTTGCTCTGTTGCTGTTGCTTTGTTCTGTTGCTGTTGCTTTCTGTTGCTTTGTTCTGTTGCTGTTGCTTTCTGTTGCTTTGTTCTGTTGCTGTTGCTTTCTGTTGCTTTGTTCTGTTGCTGTTGCTCTCTGTTGCTTTGTTCTGTTGCTGTTGCTCTCTGTTGCTTTGTTCTGTTGCTGTTGCTTTGTTCTGTTGCTGTTGCTTTGCTCTGTTGCTGTTGCTTTGTTCTGTTGCTGTTGCTTTCTGTTGCTTTGTTCTGTTGCTGTTGCTTTCTGTTGCTTTGTTCTGTTGCTGTTGCTTTGCTCTGTTGCTGTTGCTTTGCTCTGTTGCTGTTGCTTTCTGTTGCTTTGTTCTGTTGCTGTTGCTTTGTTCTGTTGCTGTTGCTTTCTGTTGCTTTGTTCTGTTGCTGTTGCTTTCTGTTGCTTTGTTCTGTTGCTGTTGCTTTCTGTTGCTTTGTTCTGTTGCTGTTGCTTTCTGTTGCTTTGTTCTGTTGCTGTTGCTTTGTTCTGTTGCTTTTGCTTTGCTCTGTTGCTGTTGCTTTGTTCTGTTGCTGTTGCTTTCTGTTGCTTTGTTCTGTTGCTGTTGCTTTCTGTTGCTTTGTTCTGTTGCTGTTGCTTTGCTCTGTTGCTGTTGCTTTGCTCTGTTGCTGTTGCTTTGCTCTGTTGCTGTTGCTTTCTGTTGCTTTGGACTGTTGCTGTTGCTTTGTTCTGTTGCTGTTGCTTTGGTCTGTTGCTGTTGTTTTCTGTTGCTTTGTTCTGTTGCTGTTGCTTTGGTCTGTTGCTGTTGTTTTCTGTTGCTTTGTTCTGTTGCTGTTGCTTTGGTCTGTTGCTGTTGTTTTCTGTTGCTTTGTTCTGTTGCTGTTGCTTTGGTCTGCTGTTGCTTTGTTCTGTTGCTGTTGCTTTGCTCTGTTGCTGTTGCTTTGTTCTGTTGCTGTTGCTTTCTGTTGCTTTGTTCTGTTGCTGTTGCTTTCTGTTGCTTTGTTCTGTTGCTGTTGCTCTCTGTTGCTTTGTTCTGTTGCTGTTTCTCTCTGTTGCTTTGTTCTGTTGCTGTTGCTTTGGTCTGTTGCTGTTGCTTTGCTCTGTTGCTGTTGCTTTGTTCTGTTGCTGTTGCTTTCTGTTGCTTTGTTCTGTTGCTGTTGCTTTCTGTTGCTTTGTTCTGTTGCTGTTGCTTTGCTCTGTTGCTGTTGCTTTGCTCTGTTGCTGTTGCTTTCTGTTGCTTTGTTCTGTTGCTGTTGCTTTGTTCTGTTGCTGTTGCTTTCTGTTGCTTTGTTCTGTTGCTGTTGCTTTCTGTTGCTTTGTTCTGTTGCTGTTGCTTTCTGTTGCTTTGTTCTGTTGCTGTTGCTTTGTTCTGTTGCTGTTGCTTTGCTCTGTTGCTGTTGCTTTGTTCTGTTGCTGTTGCTTTCTGTTGCTTTGTTCTGTTGCTGTTGCTTTGGTCTGTTGCTGTTGCTTTGCTCTGTTGCTGTTGCTTTGTTCTGTTGCTGTTGCTTTCTGTTGCTTTGTTCTGTTGCTGTTGCTTTCTGTTGCTTTGTTCTGTTGCTGTTGCTTTGCTCTGTTGCTGTTGCTTTGCTCTGTTGCTGTTGCTTTCTGTTGCTTTGTTCTGTTGCTGTTGCTTTGGTCTGTTGCTGTTGCTTTGCTCTGTTGCTGTTGCTTTGTTCTGTTGCTGTTGCTTTCTGTTGCTTTGTTCTGTTGCTGTTGCTTTCTGTTGCTTTGTTCTGTTGCTGTTGCTTTGTTCTGTTGCTGTTGCTTTCTGTTGCTTTGTTCTGTTGCTGTTGCTTTCTGTTGCTTTGTTCTGTTGCTGTTGCTTTCTGTTGCTTTGTTCTGTTGCTGTTGCTTTCTGTTGCTTTGTTCTGTTGCTGTTGCTTTGCTCTGTTGCTGTTGCTTTGCTCTGTTGCTGTTGCTTTCTGTTGCTTTGTTCTGTTGCTGTTGCTTTGGTCTGTTGCTGTTGTTTTCTGTTGCTTTGTTCTGTTGCTGTTGCTTTGGTCTGTTGCTGTTGTTTTCTGTTGCTTTGTTCTGTTGCTGTTGCTTTGGTCTGTTGCTGTTGTTTTCTGTTGCTTTGTTCTGTTGCTGTTGCTTTGGTCTGTTGCTGTTGTTTTCTGTTGCTTTGTTCTGTTGCTGTTGCTTTGGTCTGTTGCTGTTGTTTTCTGTTGCTTTGTTCTGTTGCTGTTGCTTTGCTCTGTTGCTGTTACTTTGGTCTGCTGAGGATGATCAGCAGGTCATTAAAGTGCAGCGCTGCATGCAGCACATAAAACCATTGCTAATCCTTTAATCTGACCATGATAGTTCTAATTAATAATCAGATAGCCAAAGATTAAAAGAAGATGTTTTATGAAATTAAACCAGGTGAAAGTAAAAGTTTTCCACTAGAGGAGTTCTGCAAAGAGCAGATTGACAGATGAAGTTTTTTTATCTTAAAAGCAAAATGTTTTTATATTTCTTTATCATTTTTGCTGTAATTCCTCCTCTAAGTGTGTCGCTCTGTTTAGAGTCTCTATACTCCAGTTACTGATTAATCTATTACTGAATTAGTTGATTTCAGTAACCGGTTGATTATTTCATCCCAGTGTAAGAGGATAACCTGTAATGGAAGTACTGTAATCCCTTGTGTTGTTCAGTATGATGTGTTGCTCAATGTAAAAATTGACCAATATGTTCAGATGTGTTATTTAGTTTTATAAATAACTTGCAGATGCTTTTGTTTTAACAGCGTGGTCAGTCCGTTGAAAACAAGGTCGAGAATCTGAAGATCAGTAAAGAAATGCTCAAAGAAATTAAAGAAAAACTTTGTGCCAAATCCTGTGAGGAGGTTTGCCCCCTAGACGCCGCCCCCAACGCTGGTTAAGAGTCTGAAAAGGAATTAATGATTTCCTTTGGAAGATGTCAGCGGATTCTTATCAATAAACGGCATGAAAAAATGAGTCAGTCCTTGTTTTTTTTAAACAGAAATGTTTCGCTGGAGTCGAATCAAGTTCTTGTGTTGAATAATTATTTAAAGAGGATATAACCTCAGTAAGAGCAGCTGAGTTGGTCAGCCAGTTGGCAGAAGCCGTCTTTAGGACTTGATGTGGTCTGGAACAGGTCCAGAGACGGGGAAACCAGTAACAGCGTCTGATTGAGGGAAAACCTCAAACACAGACTGATATTTATGAAAAACCTGTGGGCTGGTTCACCAGAGCTACTACAATCAGAACCTTTTCATCTCTGACACTACTAACCAGTTCAAAGGGTTGGAAAATGAAACAGTGGATATAAACCATCTATAGCTGAATTATTACGCTGTCATCTTCATATAAACTCTGGTTCAGCTGCCATTTTCCTTTCTCTTTATGTATTTTCATTTCTGCTTTTATTCAGAAGGAAGCCTGATCCATAGATCTGATCAAACTCACATGAGTCAGAGCCTGCAGATGGTGCAGTGGTTCCTCCTCTCCTGTCAGCCTAGTGCTGTAAAAAAATACTCACATTAGTTGGATTGTTTAAAGATGAAAAAGCCAAACAGCTTTGGTTGCAGTCTTAGTTAATGCATCATTAAAAAGAACAATAAAGAGCTTCTATGGTTTCTCTTTATCTGCTCACCTTTTCTCCTTCCTGGTCTTATCCTTATGGAACAGAAAATCAAATGGGGAGTTTTTTCACCTCCATGATAAAATGTGGTGTCCATATTGTCCATATTGTCCATATTGTCCATGGTGTCCATATTGTCCATCTTGTCCATGGTGTCCATATTGTCCATATTGTCCATGGTGTCCATATTGTCCATGGTGTCCATGGTGTCCTCTGAAATGATCTTCTCCATGCTGCAGCTGCAGCTCATGTCCTCCTGATGATCCACAGTCTGAACAGGGAGCATTTATCTTGGAAACTCAACAGATCCACTCTGATTTCCAGCCTGGGTGAGCTGCTGCCCCATCTGCAGATGGGGGCGGGGATCAACGGTGACTCCAGACTGGATCTTGGACGCCATCTTGTGGCGGAAACTGTTCAACCCATTCACAATCAGCAATGAAGCCTCTACAGTGTAGAGGCTTCATTGCTGATTGTGAATGGGTTGAACAGGCTGTGGCTGTAGAGTCTACAGCCACAGTTGTAGGTGAAAACAGCATCTCCTACACTTCAAAGAAAAGGGACAAAACTGTGAAAACACACAGAAATATAAAAATGATCAAATAACTATAAAAATCATTTAAAACAAAACTAAGGAATTTAAAGGATATATATATATTTTTTTACTTTGCTACAATAATTCTATTCAGTTTATTTCTATAGCTCCAATTCACATCATGTCATCTCAGGTCAGTTTCCAGTTCACCAGATCATCCAGTCAGATTGATTCAAAGTTTTCTATCTGAGGAAAACCAGCTGATTGCATCGACTCGTTGACTCTTCAGCAATTTTTTGGGGGGGGGGTTTATATACTCCCAGAGGGAAATTACTTCTCTGCATTTAACCCCTCCCCTTGGGGAGCAGTGGGCTGCCATTGTGCCGCGCCTGGGGAGCAGTGTGGGGTTAAGGGTCTTGCTCAGGGACCTAGAGAGGCAGTCTGTGGGAGTGGGGGATCTAATTCACAACCTTAGGATTCAAAGCCCTATGCCCTAATTACTAGGCCGCCACTCCCCCTAAATCCCTCACACTAAGCATGCTTGTAGCGACAGTGGAGAGAAAAAACTCCCTTTTAACAGGAAGAAACCTCCAGCAGAACCAGGCTCAGTGTGAGCAGCCATCTGCTGAGGCCCACTGGGGTTCAAGGAGACAGAAGCAGACATAGAAAAAGAAGCATAGATACAAAAGGCAACTGTCAACCAGCTCCACAGGCGGCCCCGTCCAGGAAACACACAGCCAGGCAGACGAGCTCCGAGCCAGCTCCCATGTCAGAGGATGAAGAGAGCACATCCAGTTAGTCACAGTCAGAGAAACAGGACTACACTGGAAAACAGGCCAAGCTCCAACATCTAGAAACAAAGGTGTTGATGGCAGCAGCACAGCTGATATTTCTCTCCAGGATGGAGTCACAGCCAAACAGGAACAGACCAGATGAAGCTATTATGAGAAAAAGCAGAGAGAGCAGAACGTTAGAGATTGAACTAACAGATTCTGCAGAGTGGGAGAATAGAGATAGAATGAAGCAGAATGATGAAAAAGGGGTCCCTATGTCCTCCAGCAGTCTAAGCCTATAGCAGCAGAACTGTAACCTCTCTCAGTGGGGTTGCCTGTATAGCAGCATTTCATCACTTCCAAGTTTTCTGCTCTTGCCCTGGTTGCCTATATATACACACACATATATATATATATATATATGTATATATAAACTCACCGGCCACTTTATTAGGTACACCTGTCCAACTGCTCGTTAACACTTAATTTCTAAGCAGCCAATCACATGGCGGCAACTCAGTGCATTTAGGCATGTAGACATGGTCAAGACAATCTCCTGCAGTTCAAAGCGAGCATCAGTATGGGGAAGAAAGGTGATTTGAGTGACTTTGAAGGTGGCATGATTGTTGGTGCCAGAAGGGCTGGTCTGAGTATTTCAGAAACTGCTGATCTACTGGGATTTTCACGCACAACCATCTCTAGGGTTTACAGAGAATGGTCCGAAAAAGAAAAAACATCCAGTGAGCGGCAGTTCTGTGGGCGGAAATGCCTTGTTGATGCCAGAGGTCAGAGGAGAATGGCCAGACTGGTTGGAGCTGATAGAAGGGCAACAGTGACTCAAATAACCATCCGTTATAACCAAGGTGGGCAGAAGAGCATCTCTGAACGCACAGTACGTGGAACTTTGAGGCAGATGGGCTACAGCAGCAGAAGACCACACCGGGTGCCACTCCTTTCAGCTAAGAACAGGAAACTGAGGCTACAATTTGCACAAGCTCATTGAAATTGGACAATAGAAGATTGGAAAAACGTTGCCTAGTCTGATGAGTCTCGATTTCTGCTGCGACATTCGGATGGTAGGGTCAGAATTTGGCGTCTACAACATGAAAGCATGGATCCATTCTGCCTTGTATCAACGGTTCAGGCTGGTGGTGGTGGTGTCATGGTGTGGGGAATATTTTCTTGGCACTCTTTGGGCCCCTTGGTACCAATTGAGCATCGTTGCAACGCCACAGCCTACCTGAGTATTGTTGCTGACCATGTCCATCCCTTTATGACCACAATGTACCCAACTTCTGATGGCTACTTTCAGCAGGATAATGCGCCATGTCATAAAGCTGGAATCATCTCAGACTGGTTTCTTGAACATGACAATGAGTTCACTGTACTCAAATGGCCTCCACAGTCACCAGATCTCAATCCAATAGAGCATCTTTGGGATGTGGTGGAACGGGAGATTCGCATCATGGATGTGCAGCCGACAAATCTGCAGCAACTGTGTGACGCCATCATGTCAATATGGACCAAACTCCCTGAGGAATGCTTCCAGCACCTTGTTGAATCTATGCCACCAAGAATTGAGGCAGTTCTGAAGGCAAAAGGGGGTCCAACCCGTTACTAGCATGGGGTACCTAATAAAGTGGCCGCTGAGTGTATGTATATATATGTATGTACACAAAACCAACCACTCTCTGTTGCTTAGCAACAGTGACACTTGACACACAAAGCAGGAAAAGAAGGAATACCAAACTTTTCCAAACTGTTTCTTTTAATTTTTTGTTTTTCTCTTTTTTTTATTGTAAAGTGAAAAAAGACTTTATTCCAGAGTGGAATAAATGTTTCAACCACCGGGAGCAGGAACAAATCAAATCAAATGTAATGATAGAAACCTTAGTCAGTTAAATAACCTGCTGCTGTCATTCTGCACATCTCTGATGTTGCTGCTATTTTCAAATATCCATTACTGTAAAAATGTCCATAGCTGCATATTGGTTATTAATTCTCCAGTTTTATATTGTTAAAACACTTTACAGAATTGTAATTTTTATATTTTAACTCTTCCCTATTATGTGATTCTAACACATTTTTCTAAAGTCCACATTGGTGTGAACATTTTTTTCTAAATTTTTTTTGCTGTTGTTAACACCAGAATTCGCCCATTGTGGGACAATAATAGATTTTCTATTCTATAAAAGGGGTAGAATGATAAAAGTAAACAATGTGTGTATAAAAACATTTCTGCAAAATCTATAATATTCAACAACAAACAGTACTTAATTAACCAAATTGTGCAAAACAGCAATAAAAAGATAAAACTCCTATCAGATTTATAGTTCCCACCCTGCAGATATATTAGAATCTGTCCTTAAATTCCAGCCAAACCCATTTACACAGTAACAGATTAAAACCTTTAGATAAATCAAACATTACCGCCACATATCTGACTCTATAACCATTAAAACAACTATTTTCATTCATTTCAGACGGAACTATTCACAGACTGGATTATATTAAACTGAACTTCCAATTTTAACAACTGTTCGGCGCCAAGTAACCTTTACTCTGATCATGGAGCAGCCGGCTTGCTTGACCTCGCAATGAATCTGTTGGGAGCTGGAGAAAATCCCATCTTTCTCCAGCAGAGTCCGCCGTGGATCCTCTGAGTGAGCCTCCTGCACAGCTGCAGCTCATCAAGATCATCAGAGGATCCACTATATAAGCTGCCTTCAGACCTTGCCTCAACGCCACAGTGTTGTTCAAGTTGGTCAGCGCTAAAGCCTTGATCTCAGTGATTTTCCATGACTCTAATTCCTGGTTGGATTCTAAACTCTGTTTCTGTGCCTCTAGGAAACTCGTGCTTCCTCCGTGAAAGCTCTGGAAGAGCTAACCTGCCGAGCCGACCCTCAGAGCCAAACCCTGAAGACTCTCAGATTACCTCCAAGCAGCTCTGGGCTAGAGCTGGGAAACCAAGGCCAAGGTCTGCTCAAACTAGACGTGAGACGCTGAAGCAGCTAACGGACTCTGCAACTAAATCCATCTCCAGAACCAACAGTGACTCTCCCAAAGAGAACCTCAAGAACCCTCAAGGTACAATCAGTGCTTCTTTGGAAACCAAACCCCGTCAACAGTCCTTAACTGTGCTGTCTCTCACGCAGACTCCGGTGAAACCAGAATCCAGGCCCGAACCAGCCTTCTGCATATTCAGTGTTATTGTGCAAAATAAACTTGTTAAACTTTTCATCCTGTGTCCGTCAGTGGTGTTCTGCATTATTGGGTCTCCACCTGAGAACCCATCATGCAGAACATCGGCAAACTCCCCCAAA